CGCCCACCTCCAGGACCTGATCCTGCCTCACAGAGCTGCAGCACAGGGCTGGGGGAAGAGGAGGGCACTCTTCCCAAATACAATCCCCACCCCAGTGAATAAAGTCCAAGGGAGGGAGCCGAAAAAAACACCGAAATAAAACCCTCCTGGCAGCAGCAGAGAGCAGTGACTCATCCCGCAGGCAGCCTCCATTACTGCATGGGATGCGGGCAAGTAGCAACAAACCCCGCGTGCATCCCCAAAACTTCGGGGTCCCCTCCCTTGGGGGAGGGAGGGATAGCCCATGGCACATGGGGAAATACCAGCCCCAAACTATCCTGTTTCAGGTCTCGACTGCTTTCCCAGCCACATGACGCTGTTCCAGCCTGGGCAGCACCCGTCCAGCTATTTCTCTCCTGAAACAGGAGAGAATAGGACTGAAGCAGAACGCCTCACTTGAGCCTAGATAAATTAAACTGATCACATCCCTTTGTCCAGCAACCCTGTAATTTCTTTAAAGGCAGCAATCGAGTTTGCCTGGGACGATCTGTGCTTTATGAACCTGCACGGCTCGCTCCCTTCCCGCTTTCGTAAGCGGCTGCAGATGGATTAGAGCCATGGAAGCAACAGCCTGGCTACAGCCGAGGCGGTAACTCTCTTTTTAAGACTCTCTTAAAAGGCACTTGATTTTTTTTTAAAAAAAAAAAAAAAAAAGAAAAAAAATCACCCTTTGGGTGGAAATATTTCATGCTAGCGCAGTCCAAAAGTGAATGGAGTAAATTTGAAGGGGAGAGAAGAGAAAGAGCCCTTGGGGGTTTGAACAGTGGCATCCAAAGAACAGGCGGGAAACCAATTTTTTTTTTTTTAAAAAAAGGAAAAAAAAAATTTTTCAAAAAGCAAAGCTGCTTCTCGAGCCACAGCGGGTCACAGGCAGGACAGCAGGGGCAGATTTCCTCGACCATGTTACAAGTAACCCATTGTGGAGCTGCCTGGCTGTAAATCGGCAGCTCTCCCCTGCCTGCACTGCTGAGCTGCCTTTGATCTGGAAGCCCGGGCAATTAATAGCAGGCAGTTTCACTTCCTGGGTTTCATGCAGCAAGCCCGTGTTGCAATGCAAAGCTGCAAACAGTTGGCAAGTGCGATGCTTGCTTGGCATTTTTTTTTTTTTTTTTAATTTGGAGTGATGTTTCCATTAGTCACTGATTGCAAGGGAAATTTATTTTCGCAAAAATTCAGATTTTGGCCCCGGCCTGACCTGCTATCACCTACTGACTGTGCCCAAACATACATTCTGGTGCCATGAGAGAAGGGACATCAAAAAGGCTGAGGTCCGAGGAGAGCACGGCGCCATGCTAAACACTGTCTCCCCAGCTGCTTTTATGGTTTGTGTGTCCGTCGACTGCACCACACAGCCTCAGTCCCTGTCCCGAGTGGGGCGGAAGCTCTGGGGGCACCGTGGCCCCTCTCCAGGATCCCCCATGGGCATCGAGGGCCATGCGAGGAGGGACTTGCTGCTAGCCCTGGCATGGAGGCCAGCCAGACCCCAAACCTTTCTGTCTTTGGGTGACGCCAGCAACACAAGGGGTGCAAACCCCGGTGAATCCGGTGCGGGGAACACACACCCATCAGCATTTTCGGGGAGGTGCTGCACGTTGAGCTGCTCGAGCCCCATGCTGCTTGAAGGAAACTCCCACCACCTGCCTGCGCAATGCGGGGAGCGCCTTGACGCCAAATCCCCCGAAAGGTTTGGGTGCTTGCAAACCAAAAGGAGCAGGGACGGGGGCTGCAGGACTCGGAGTGCGAGGGGGCAAAGGCAGCGTACCCCTCCCTGCAGAGGCACGTGGGAGCCTTCGTCCCCCTCCCTGGCCAGCAGCTCCTCTTCCTCCAGGGAGAGCTGCCTCTGCAGCTCTGCATGGCGGGGAGCGTGTGGGAAGCGGCACAACCCCCAGAAGGGCCGTGTGCTAATTAAATAAAGATAATGAGGCTGAGAATGAGATGCCAAATCAATGCTGTGGCAACTCAGGACTAGAGCGCCAGATACCAGCCTGGTGTATCGCATTACAAAGCATGCCAAAGAAACTGCCTTCAGCCGGGCGGGATGAGCCCTCGGCTCCCAAGGGACCGGGATACAAGCTGCATTGTAACAGGTCTGAATGCGAGGTCTAATCCTGGCTCTGGATGGAGATAAAGAGGAGGAGGAGGAGGAGATCTTCAAAGGCCACTGAAAGTCTGGGGAAAGGGGGAGATTTACAACAGGGCTTATCCCATCTAAGCAGTAACTGGGTATTGTTATTTATTAAAATGCCATCTGGCACTCCGGAGCGCTCCTTGCCTGTGCGGTGAAGCCTTGGCGGCTCCCCGGGGTGGGAGTGCCGAAACCCCAGCTCCGTGGGGCCGCATCCGCACCTCTCCCCACACCGCAGGGGCAGAAAGCCTTCTCGGTGGTGTTGGGCTGCTGAAATGGGGTAAAGGAACATCCAGCCGAGAGCAGAAAAGGGAGCTGCGGCTGCAGCTTCTCCCAGCCCTTCTTCAGCTGTTTCCACTTAAAACACACGATCATATGGCGGAAAATCTGATCCTACAAGCGCAGCGCAACTTTCCCAGAGAAACGTGAGGACACCGCCGCTTCTGCCCAGCGAGAGGGCAGGCTGCCGGATGGAGACGTGCCCGCGGCTCTGTGTGGCTTCCCTGTGCGCTGGGGAAGAAGCCGGGGCTTGTTGGGGGGAAATTAAAGGCGCTGGGAGAGCTGCCGCGCGGGTGTCTGCCCGGCTGGGTGGATGCGGAGATGGGACTTCGTCCCAGGCTGCAGCGATGCCCTGAGGAGCCCTTGGTCCTGCCTCAGGATGCCCCAGCTTGGCACAGCCCGGACGCTGGCTGGAAACAGTGTCACCTTGTGCCCAAACCCTGCTGGGAAAGAGCAAACACCCTGTATGGTCTAAGATCTCCCAGCCCAAGCAAGAAGGAAACCAGCTCCCCAGGAGCGTGGAGCCCAGCGCACACTTTTAAGCGTGGGCTCCTTGCCCAGCGATGGATGCCTGGCACCGGTGTCCGTCTGCCCCAGGAGGAGCCAGATCGGCTGCTCACAAGACTAATGCAGGGGGCCGGGACCACAAGCAACCTGCCCCCGAAGTCAGGGCTGTGCTGGCACCAATGGTGCTGGAGGCTCCGGTGCCCCAGCAGAGCCGTGGCCCCACAGAGGCTGAGCTCTCCCCGCCCAGCCGCAGTGGCACGGCCGACAGCTACACTGCTCCCACAGCCAGCGGAGAGGCCGGCCTGGCCCGAGCCCCACGTCACAGGCCGTCCCAAATCGCATCGCCCCTGCCAAGAGCAAACGGCCGGCGCCAAGCATCCCGTCATCGGCGAGCGCAAGGCATCCAGCGCTGGAGGCCCAGCCGGCGTCCCGCTCCCTGCGCAACACCTCCAGCCAAGGGGAGCGGTGACCTTTCTGCCCTAAACCCCAGCCAACCCAGGGCAGGGTCCTGCATGCCACAGATGGCTCCCAAGGACAAAATCACCCCAAGGGAGAGCAACATCCATCTGGGCAGATTTTTCCTTATCAACACACCCAACCTCGGGTGAAACAGCAACACCAAAGCTGTCGTGGGAGAGCACGGCAGCT